TATTTTTATATATATATATATACATGTTTCACCTTGGCTTTTTCATCATTTGTCTTCTCCATTTTGTCACTGTGCTTTTTCCACCGTGTAAATGTAAAAACAGTTTCCTGTCTCTTTTAAAAATCTTTAAATAGCCTTTTCTTGCTCTTACGCAGCAGATCCTAGCAGGAGTCATTTGGTGTTGAACAGCACTTGGGGTTCTCTAACAAAGAAATCGGTGACTGTAATAGTTTCTGTGGACCCCAGGACTATGTTTTGGCAAATGCATCTCTGTTTCCTTTGCATCTGTGAGTAAAAGGTGCTTTGAGGAGCGGGAGAATATGTCTGTTTTTCAGAGAGTTGTGCAGGGTATGGAGTCATTTTGGTTTTTTTACCGAACCATTTTTCATGAAGTCTGCTTTAGGGGTGACTGTTTATGTAATAAAGTCAGTGTTTCCTAGCACTTTATTTTCAGACCTTATGTAGATGAAATGCTTGTGGTCACTGTCGCTGGTTCACCACATGAAGGATGCCTAATAGCCTGGGTGCTGTGTTGTCAGTGTGAGGAACTCATCCAGGAAACTTCTAGAAAATCTATCTTGTTTAAAACAAACAAAATTCTAGCAACATCTTTTATATCACTGTAACCACGTGTGGCATGTGCACTCCTCCTCTTCCCCTTGGCCTCTAATGTATATATAGCATGCATTCAGCGAGTGCTGTGGAGTCTGTGAGCTCAAGCATGCAGCAGGGAGCCAGCAATCCATTTTCTTTGACTTTCTCCTGCCTGTAATCTAATAAGGCAAGAATTACTTCTGTGCAGTTTATAGAGGTTGGGGGGTGTGTGTTTGTGTGGTTTTAGTTTTAACACAAATTAAAAAAAAAAAAACAAAACAAAAACCAACTTTCTATTCTCATTAAAAAAAAACAAAACAAAACAAAAACCAACTTTCTATTCTTACTGTCTTGCAAGTTATCCTGGAGAAATGGGAATCCTTTCCCACAAGAATTGATGTATGCAACGTACTATAACTCTCTATACATGTGGTTTATATGACCAGGGGTTGCAGGATGGACCTGTCTGTAGCAGGTTATCGAGTAAAACTTAGCAGTTGTGGAACTGAAGCAGGTTGTTTCCTACCTGTACCAAGACCAAGAGATTTTGCAGAGTATTAATTTACCCCTCTAATCAGCTGGAAATTTCAGAGATGCTTAAAAGAGCTGCCTCTTGGGCACCCTTGGAAATAGCATTTAACTTCATTATGCTTTTTGTGTTGAGTCTAACCTGTGCTTTCACATTGATCTTTCTCATGATGGAAATGTTAAGCAGTGGTAGTAATTGGTGTGCATCTTTGATAGGAATCATGCAACGTGGATCAAATAGTATAACCCAGTTTAAATAACTTAACGTACAGTAATCTTAAGGAATGCATGCTCAGTTCTACTTGGGCTGTCTGTCTTCTCCTGCTTATCTTCTGGAGAAGTTTAATTCTCATAGGCTTAAATCCTGTGCTAGTGTGCCTCACTTCTAAATAGGACTTACCTGATATAATTTGAGTTTATCCTCTTTTGGTCAGAAAGAGGTTAATTAAGGGAACAATTAGAAAAAGCTCAATAAAACTGCGTTCAGGTTTAGTGGAATGAAAAGTGAGCTTCCCGTGACGAGATGATTCAGAAATCATGCTTTTCTGATTTCTCATTGAGACAGTTCCTCAGTATTAGTGTGTGTATGCTGATGTGAAGCAGTCAGTGTCTTGGGCTGTGCTGTTGTCACTGTTTGCATTACTGTGGTGGTTGTGATAGAGACCGGAACAATAACGTTAATCCCAGGCACCTTCTCACCCCCTGAGGGAGGGGAGGAGTTTATCAGGAATTTACACCGTATTTTGCATTGCATTTCCATTTCTCGGGTCCCAGGTTTTTACGGCAGTTGAAAGTACATAGATGGATGAATTTGGATCAATTACCCCTACCTTGGCTCTGCAGGCAGTGTCAATGCTGGAAGCCAGCACAGACCAGGCTGCAGAAGCCTTCTAAAGCTGTGAGCACCCCTGCATATATCCACTCTCTGATTTTTCTGGGTCTGATTCCTTACAAAATGGCCACATATGTGCTAGCTAGTACAATCTGTGAAAGCTAGTTGTATGTCCTGGGTTCTGCTTCAGTGGATTGGGAAGCTTGTCTTTCTAAAAACGAAATCACAGCAGCCAACAAATCATTTGCTTGTGTAGTCAGCCCAGCCTCTCTGATCCTCTTCCCTTGTTCCAGTCTGAGATTGTGGGTAAGTCACATGGCTGAATCGAATAGCTTTGGGGAGGCTCTCAAGGAAAAGCACTGTTAGACAGGCCTTTTCAGCACATTTACGGGGTTAGTTTAGACTTCATATTTCAGGTTGACTCAGTATTTTGGAAAGGTAACAAGTATTTTTCAAATTGCCCATTCCCAGAGTGATGGGACTGCCTCACAGTGTTTTGGGTGCAGATATCACCATCTCTTTCTTATCTAACATTGTTACAGCATCAGGAAGTATAGCAGAATTTCAGAGTTAGTTGTACCATCACCTGGAAGCAGTAACGTGTAGGAGATGTGGATCTTGGAGCTGCAGTGGCGATCTGGCCTCAACAGTGCTGCAAAACTGCCTTAGGGCTCTGTGCAGTCAGAGCTGTTGAGATCAGCAGCAGGTTGGGATTGCACTGAACACTGTTAAACAAGGACTGATTTGTCCTTAACTCAGATTTTGAAAAATGCTGGGCACCTGATGTTATAGCAGAGAATTCAATCACTCTGTGAAAGAAAGCTCAGCTTTTCCCTGGTAAGGACTTGAGAATGATGAAGCTTTGATTGTACTGAGCCTTAGTCCATGTGATGCTCATTGCAGATTTATGTATTCTCAGCTTTTTCTATAAGCAAATCCATGTAGCAGTAGAAAAGCTTAAAATCCAGAGCAGTGGTTCAACAGCCTTGTTTCAGGTTTGTGTCAGTAACTGTGTGCCTGCTGCTGGCAGGCATTGCAAGGCACGGACATTCTGCTGTGTGGAATTGTGTGTTTGTATTGAATCTGCAGGGACCTGTGTTTAGAAGGGTTAGATAGATAATCACAATTAGGCTGCATTGCCAACAATGATGTTCTTATTTAATGCATTAGTGAGTGCAGGTGGCAGGACCTCCGAAGTGAATTAAATACAATG